CCATTAGATGATGTAGTAAAGACACGTACATGAGACACATTACGACGACGATTGATATTTTTTTGCTTGTGTCCGGATTTCTGCTGACATGAATTCACTGGTTATAGCCCCAAACTATAGTCGCCCCGACCTCATTTTGTTAATTTTACATGGCTGAACGATAATTGAATTCGTATTGGCTTAATTATTACTAAATATCAATAAATTTTTTCAATATTCTTGACAACACTTATGGATTTCTTGACCAAGGTTATGAGTTACAGCTACCGTTAGGAGTGTTCCCAACTTTTATATCATTAATGCGTCATAATAACATATATTTATATTATATGTATTATTAATTAGTTCGTGGTTTAATGTCATTTAGGTTGGGGTTAGGGTTTATTGGGTTAGGATTATCAATCATTAATCTTAATCAGTTAATATATATCAACGTGGGAACATCCTTAATGATAGCAGAGCAAGAATTTTTCATTCTGATCTCCATTTGTAAGGGAGGGGGATGGGGGATTAGGATTAATTACTATACTTACAAGTGTTTTCTGTAATAACGACACTTGAACTTGGGCAAAACCTGCACAGATTTCCCTTTCTGGGGACAATTACATTTGTACTTTTATTTATCTAAAGTTAATTCGTTACAATTTGTATGTATATAAACATGAAATTACGTATCAATGATCTTGATATCAAATACTGACAAAAAATTTGTGATGATGTTGACATTGTCTCATGTTAAGTGTTAGTTGTGCTACTATATAGCCAACGGTTATTACAATAAATTTGTTTGCTACTAATGTAAGACACGATTTACACAATTAAAAAGGAAGAAGGGTTTAAGGGTTAAAGAGGTGATCATGAAAGGGTTTAAATTAAAATATAAAGGGTGGGGATTTATTTACTGAAACGTTACATCCTTTATTATTTGCTTTGATAAATTATCCAGCTATGCTGATATTTCAGTGCCAAGTTCCCTTATACCGCCACTCTTAGACACAGTTTTACTTGCCAACTACACTGCATTTTCCTTACACAGAAATCTTTCTGTTCGGCTACACAAAAGCTTGCCGCATATATCTTATAACCCACACACATCACCAGATGTGCGCCTCCCAGCACACATGTCTGGGATATGACCATCTCATCTGCACAGGAAATTACTTTGCAGAGCCACAACCACCCTAGTAAGCCGTGTCTCATGAAACATGCGTACGTAACACTGACGCGACTACGGCAACAGACGCAGTAAATCGTTAGATGCGCCGCAGCAGCGAGAGGATCCATGTCAGCGCGTTTCAACGCTCCAGTGGGGCACGTTTGCCTATTTGATGTGGACTCATTTACCACCTATGCTGATGTCATCATCGACGCGCCACCTGTGGTATTCTGCCTAGGATTACCTGTGTTTTTTTGTCTAGAGCTACCTGTGGTATTTTGTCTAGGACTACCAGTGATATTTTGTCTCTAGGGCTACCTGTGGTATTCTGCCTAGGATTACCTGTGTTTTTTTGTCTAGAGCTACCTGTGGTATTTTGTCTAAAACTACTTGTGATATTTAGTCTAGGGCTACCTGTGATAATTTGTCTAGGATTACCTATGGTATTTTGTCTAGATTACCTGTGATATTTGTCTAGTACTACCTGTGATATTTTGTCCAGGACTACCTGTAATATTTTGTCTCTACGACTACCTGTGACATCTTGTTTAGGCTGGCAATTTTCACATTGTGTGACCCAAACTGGCATTGCTACAAAAGTGATTAATAAAAGGTACTACTCAAAATTTTAGCTAAAATATTTCTGGTAAGTAGGGTATATTTGTTGACATATAATCAGTGTTTTTAATTTAATTGCTGAAAAATGCACTGATAGTGGCTATTATTACACATAAAGCAGTATTTTTAAGGTGTGATTGAAAAATTATTGCCCTGGCTCGCAATGCTCCTTAACCCCCACCTCATGAAACCGTCCCTGGAAAGCCCTCTTTAGCCTCACCAAATATACCCTTGCCTAGACTTAATTATATCGATAAGTAACTTTCTGCTAACTAATAAATACTTTCAAAATATTTTGTCCCCTGGACATCTAGTACGTGTCTACGCGTTAGATCACATCTATGCTCAATGCCTACCTGTGATATCGCGGTGCTGGGATTTCAACCTCAAAGTCAACATTTGGATGATTTTCAACCGCATCCAGGAATTCGTCGTCCTCATCCGATGTAACAGCGCCACCTGGTAGTGACAAGTGACACCGTTAGTCACTCGCACATCAGCGCAATCAAACATGCATACAATGCCATGGAACAGTGCTGCTGCTGCTCCATCAAACAAGTCTGCATACAGCATGGGATAAAGATTACTTTAAACTCACTGCATTGAAGGAAAACACTTATAGGTTCAATGCAAAATAATAGCAGCAGTAGTAGTAGTAGTAGTAGTAGCAATAATAATAATAGCAGTAATAATAATAATAATAATCATCATCATCATCATCATCATAATAGCAGTAATAATAATAATAATAATAATAGCTGTAATAATAATAATAATAATAATAATAGTGTCCATGCAGCTGTAGACAGATGTCCACCCTCTGCCACATCAAAACACCATTCAGCTAACAGCGCACTCACTATTTCAAAAATAGACAAGCCTTGAAAGCGAACATTTCAACAAAGCTTTATCAGATCTAGATCTTATTACGACAAAATGGAGCATACTAACTAAGAGTGACCTCGATTCCACACAGATATTCACCGATAAAAGCCTACTGTCGGCTTGGAGTCATTACAGTAATTCACGCTGTGTTGCGCCGGTTATCGTGGCGAGTTTGTGCTGCCTTCTAGTGACAAAATATGTACTTCTTATCCACTATGAAAATATGCGATGTACTCAATATGACTCTCATCACTGAACGATGGGAAAAACTTTTTAGATGGCAGCCAATTCACTCTATAATGCGGACAGGCACTCAAAAAATTTACGAAAATAGTACGACATCGAACAAACAAGAAATTGCCTTATTCTTATATTAGACTCGAATAAAAAATTATCTCACTTCTTTCTTATGACCCATTAATCTTCTACCCTTCACTGCTTCCTACATGCAATCTCCATCGTAGTGCAATGCGACTGACATTCAAAAGACTATTTCAAACGACCTTTCAACGCACATAATTAGAACATATAACTCAAGTCTGGAACCTCGTCATTTTAGATTCTAGGCAGCATATTAATTGTGAGGCGACCCAGAGATTCGTTACGTTGCCAGAATATACCCAGCCCCTCACCTCTTCCAGTGCTACACATCTAGGGTTCTCCAAGCATTTTCATTATAG